AGGAGGTAGTGGCACAGTGAAGAAATAAATATAATTACACAGGACAAAAAGTGTAATAATAATAATAATAATAATCTTAAGACAGTTTTATCTAATTTATCAACCCAAGGCACAAAAATTATAATTTAAAAAAATGTAAACCCACAGCAACTGATTGTCTATGTTGAAAAGACAACCACATTTTACAGATGGTTAAAAGCGACATATATAATCACATCTTAGGAGAGCTAATGTTGATGCTAGTTATCTAGCATGCTAATTTACATAAACCGTTTGTCAACTAGTAAGCTAGCATTATGCTAACACTAGCTGACCTAAGATGTGACAGTGACTATATGTCGCTTTTATCTTTTAACCTTCTTCAGAATGTGCTAGTCTTTTCCAACAAGACTTAAGTACAGGAAAGTGGGTGGGACTAGAACGTTACATCGATATAAATTTAAGAGAGTAGTTGAATTTCTATGGATTATAGTTAAATATGGGCACTCACAGTCAACACTCACACGTTAAAGAAAAACAGCATATTATCTGTAGACACAGTATAGTCCTGTGTCCAGTCCCTTCATTTTACGCTGAAGGAAACTAGATTTACTGCCATAGTTTTGCTGTATTTCCAATATGAACCAGACACTGGTCACTGGGAAATGAGCCAATTGATTCGCTGTGTCACTAATGAAAGACTTTCCATGATGATATACTGAGAGTAATTGCTATGTGTCAGTGCAATAAATACCCCTATATAAACTGCAAGCTAATTTGTTTAAACATAATGACATTGATTCAATATGTAAATTCACAAATAAATAAAAACAAATAAATGTATCAATACATTTTCAAAAACATTTGACTTCTCTGGGCTGTACAGTATTATATTTGGCTCCAAAGTTTTGCAGCAAAATTGGGAGTAGCAGATTTCAAGTGTTAGGATTACTGTAATCTGGACACTAAAAATAGTAACTGTGACCTGTTGACTTAGTTTGAAGGATTAAAAATGTTGTTTCACAGTGGAGGTATGAAAAGATTAACAACTGTTAAATGATAGTAAAGTGCAGTCAGTGATTTAAATACAAATATTTCACAGATTTTAGAGGCAGAAGAATCCAACATAAAGCAAAGGAATCATATCATTTTGTAATCTTTAATCTCTAATGTATTTGATCATTTTATTGCAATCTTCTGAATCCTGCACTGTATTTGCTATCAGGCTTTAACCCTAACCCTTAAACGTGTTCTTTCTGCCCATGAAACAAGACATCATTAAACCAGTGTTGCCTGACATCGTGTTGCTCAGGCTGAGTAGGTCTTTGTTGCCAGGGAGAAGAAACGCAGACCTTGGAGGGTACATGAGTACTGCGGTTAAGTGACGCATCAAACTACTCAATGTGTTATCAGTGCAGCAGAACATGTGCATGGACTCTCTTGGGTCCACAGTCATCTGAACCACTATATTACTCAAAGTCCTCACATGATGATACAACTAATTCACTAATAAAAGCATCAGTGAAATGTCATTATCAACCTTTACTATCTTCACTACCTTCGTTATGTTTTTGTTACCTTAGAATGGGCCTTTTATATCTACAGACACTCGCTTTTCTCGTGTTTCACGGCCACAGATGCCATTCGACATTTCAAATTCCTTTCGAATAGGATTTATTTGACCATATACTGTAGAATATTTTAGCCTCCAAATGATACTGAATAATCTTCATTCTAGATATATAAAATATATTAAATTGAATATCTCCAGTCTTGCCATTGTTTTCTATGGTGGGCATGGTGAATAACCCAGGTTAAATTCACAAACTCAGTGAACCATTTTGTTCGTAACATTTTTGCTTACCTGCCGTCTTACAAAACAACTTGTCCTGTGCTGCATCCATTTTAAATGCAGCAATTCAATTTCCTCACTCAGTGTATTATTATGTGAGCAGCTTTAAAGCCTTTGCATAAAGTATTCCAAGATATAACAAATCTTTTCTGCCATTGAAGTTACACCATTCTGACATCATTCTGATTCTTTAAACTGATGACTCATGCATTCAGTTAGTCATGGATTAGTATGTATTAAGGAGGATTTATCACTTTAAATTAATTAATTAATGGTAACTATTACATTGGCCTGATTAATTCAACTGTTACGACCAGCTCCAAGTTACATAAACTACAAATTAAGTTTACTTTCATTTTCTTCTTTAACAAAATGCTTTTACATTTGATGTGATGTCTTATTTCTCCTGTTCTCTTCATCATGATTAGATTCCCCTCACTTCCCCATGTTCATTATACATTTACCTCAGTCGGCAGCCTCAAGCCTGTGTGGTAAACTGCCATTAGTGTCTGCTCATACAATCTAATTATTCACTTGGGCTGTGAGCAGTGTGTAATTTCTAATAATGAAATGTGTCTGCCTTCTGGCGCTGACCTCACACTGTAACACGATGAATTAAGGGATTTGCTCAAATGCATTTTAATCCACTGGTGTGTCCTTTACTTGTGAAGGATTTACTTTTACTAAAGAAAGCTTAATAAACAACAGCATCCCTTCTAGCTATACAAAGTTAGTTACAGTGAAATCTCACTGAGCTTTAAAAAAAACGGCTGCTCAAAGAGGCAATAAAAAAAAATAATCTGTATAATTTCTAAAAAAACAGAAGTTCTTGTATGTAAATCTGAAATAATACGATCCATTTTTAGCTTCTCGACATCTCCTGCTTTATCTCACCGGAGCGTGTGCAAATAACAGTTCAATCACATTTATCAACTCCCACAGAGAGGATGAAAATAATAGACTGTCTCCTGCCTGGCCCACTTAGAGAGAGCAGACCATTAGCGTATACACACACAAACATGCACACATAGACAGACACACACTCATTCCCCCACGCCTCCCTAAAACGCCCTGCTGGATTATACAAGGCAGGCGAAGGGTGATGAGCCCTGGGGACAGGAGAGATTATTTGGCTAAAACATTCCATTGTCATCTGGACTCTTTTTTTTTTGAGGCATGTGGGACTTAAGTATTGACGTATTGGAATATTCTTTTCTAACCTTACTGTCGGTGCCTCACATATACACACTGGGATATTAAAATCGTGTCCTCGTAAAAATGACTTGAGGTACATGTGACTGCTATTTTGACACGTACTGCTACTAATGATCTCTTAGGACTGCACAGACACCAAGGACAGACAAGCCATCATGCCAGAAATTGTCCTTGACATTTGTGCTCCTGAGGGGATAAATGTGTTTGTACTCTCTCATACCTTAAACAGGAAAAAGAAAACACAGCGTGCCACTTTAATTTGTAATGTTCTCATCTGTATCTAATCAATAAGGTGGTCAAATGTGTGTTTACAGAGGTTGCAGGATGGTTGGTGTTGTTAACCTTTGAAAGTACGAGTGTAACCTCATTGGTCTGCTTGTCTGTCACTAATGTGAAGACCTCCTCCTCATTTCCAGACTCTAAGCGGTAGTCCACCTGCCAGCTGTCTCCTCCTCGAACATCTGCATCCCCTGCCAGCACAGCTGTAACTGTGGTGCCCACTGGAGCGTTCTCTGGGATGTGAAAGGGCCCATACTGAAGAGGAAGAGATGGAAAATGTATAATTACCTGGCAGGAACCATTCATTTGTTGACAAGATGCAAAATGCACTTAAATGTATAGTAAATATAAATATATGTCAATTACATGCTCACACCAAGCCCAACTCACTATATTTCCCAGAAAGATCTTAAAAATGCAATTATAAGGTTGTTCTAAAGATATACTAGAGGAAAGATCATTGAAAGTCAAACAATAAAGATATTATTCTCAACTGACTTTGATGCAAAATTGCAACGTCATCGACAGGTTTTTTGTTCTGCTGTGACACTATGTGACAGTATGTGAATATAGGTTTGCCCCCTCTTGCCCTCCTGGTGTTAGCTAACCTTTATTCACACACTTCTGTGTGTTTAGACAGCCGTTTAATCTGCCACTCACAGATGTCCTCTAGTGAAGCAGCCATGCCTCTGATCTGGCTGCCCCATCCACTGGGTCGCTGAACCCAGCCCTGTCACCACTCACCTCCCACATCACCCCCTATAGCGCTGCCTTCACATCGCCATGGAAAAAGCTGCACTACTCAGGCGTGACCTGCTCAAGAGTATTTTCCACCTCTGTGATTGTGTGTGTGTGTTTGTGTGTGCACACACACATATTTGTTTGTAACTGCTTGAAAATGAGCATTCGGCAGTGGTTGAAAGATGCAGGGTTAAAATCCTAAAGTGTCAACTGGAGCAATAAAAAATAAACATATTATTTGATCTTTTATTAAATCTGTATTCAACAATACTGTCTCATATTATTGGTCTGTATAACCATGCCAATTTCATCTGTTAATTATCCCAGTCCATGCATCCTTTTAATTTGTCACTATGGTCTGACAGAACCAGAACAGCCAGTCACTGGTTTCCCATTATCACAGCATGATGACTCTCCCACGTAAATCCCAATTCTCATGGCATTTCTCTCCTCTATTATGCGGCACATGTGGGTGAAAAGTGTGAGTATTTTCTCTAACTGCCTATCTTTAGCCTATTTTTCTTTCATACCAGCACCTACGCCAAAATGAGGGGAACCACTGTCCTATTTCATGCTGGGCCTGTGACTATAGCAGTGATGATTGCTCAACTAGATCACTACAGGATAAAAATAGACATTGGAGGTAGTTCCCAAAGAAGTTTTACTATCACAAATACTCTATGTGTACAGTAGGAAAAAAAAGTAAATAATTGTGGGATTTACTTAATTGCTAATCTTTTTTTATTATGTTTTTGTGCATTTTATGCCTTTATTAGACAACTCAAAGTAGTGGGACAACAGGAAATGAGGGCCCCGGCAAAAAGCCAACAAGGGGTGTGGGGCCATGGTCGGCGCCTTAACCCACCAGGGGACCCCACAATTGTTTATCATATAACACATTTTTTTTTTTTTTTTTCTGTATAGACTAGAATTGAGAAATGTCTGTTGAGTCTTTGTTTTCCTTTGTCAGCTGAGAAAAAACTGTGCTGGAATCTATTCTAACTAACATGGATACGCTAAAGAAAAAAAGAAAAAAACTTTGTACAGCCACTTTTAAAACAGGGAGTGTATATTTAAAATATTTTGGCTGGAGAGTCACTTTAAGTGTTCTCTTGTGTGGATTCATACCAGTAAGAATTAAAGAACCACCTGATACAGACATTTCTGTGAGAGTGTAATACCTATCACAACATTGATTCTTATGTCATTTCTAACACGTTAATGGTATCATTGTGTGGTTGTGATGTAGATTTGACCATAAATGAGTGGAAACTTTGAGTGGAAGCTTTCTTTGAGAGTAGTTTCCACTACTCTCAAAGAAAGCTTTATCAGATTAAACTCTTAAAACACAGTCCACTTAGAGTACAGAGAACTGAATAAAACTTCTCTAGTAACATGGTGCCATCGCTATAAGCTCGAGATTAGAGGGCATATCTAGTTCCCCGCCAGGAAAATTAGATCAGCTGAGCGGATTCACAGTCCACTGTCCAATAGCCACCGATGATGGCCTGCCTTTTTTTCCCCCAAAGGTATTGTTTATCATGCCCTGAGCAGACTGTTGTAATCAGAAGTGTTTGTGTTTGTGTGTGTTGTGTGTCCATTTTAACATGTGCTTTCGTACCTCATGTTGGGAGAAGACTGGTGGGTTGTTGTTCTCATCCTGCACTGTCACGACCACAGTGCAGGAACTGTTTAGACCTGCCAAGGACATCATCATAGCTTCTGTTAGTGACTCAGGGTCAGCCCATCACACAAATAAACTATGCTGAAGGAACGGCAAGTACCTCATCTTGCCTCCATCACATCCCGATCCATGAGTCAGACAGATCACATCATCTGTAGCATACATACATCTCCTGGATGCTATAGACGCAACAAAGCCACTGACGCACTAGCTTACAAAGCTAAAATGTCATGCTACTTCCTGGCACAGTAACTGCTTTATAATTGTTTTATCACTGCTTCCTTTTCTCTGTCTCTCTCCTCTAGATGCACCTTAAACGTAATGTCCTTAGAACAACTTGCAACTCAATTCAACAACTCAATCTCCCACCTATTTCTTCATTATGACTTTCACTGTGATTGGCCATGCAGTCCACACCATCACCAGTAAAATAACAGGGATGATGATGGGAAATCTGGTAATGTAATATCTATTTTAGGGATGCTATTTTCAAACTGGAATACTTAATTTAGCTTTCTTCCATAACTTGGATTTTTCTAATTTGAGCTAGCTCCGAATGTAAGCCAGGAGAACCAAAACACAACTACTGTATCTGCCTCCAGACTGTCTAAATATTTGCCTACATAATATAAGTATAGGAGTGGAAGCAGGGGAAATAAGTAAGTATAAATAAGCTTTCAGCCTTATTTGTTTTGTGTACAAAGATATCATCTAACTGATTTCCTTTGCTTAAGGGAATTATTTTAAAATAACATTTGTGGGAAAGCAACATAGATATTAAAGTAAATTAATCATCTTTTTGCTAATAGTATTTTATAAATACTATAAAAACTAATAAAAACTATTCCAATCATTTGATCAAATTATCTGATTCAACAACAGCAAATACTAGCACCAGTATTCTACATTCCTTAAAGAAGTGAAAATTGCATTTGTGCCTTTTTGTGAGACCTTGTGAGGTTGCAAAAGAAAAAAATCATGAATTGAATGAATTTTGCATTTAAAGTCACCTTTGGCATCCTCAGCAGTGATTGTGAGGGTGTATTGAGGAGCTGTACCCTCCATACTGTCTGCCTGGACGGAGATGACCCCTGAGTCACGGTCCACTCTGAAGAGGGCACGAGGACTCTCAGGAATTTGTCCAACTAAACGGTAGAAGATTCGCACATTGTCCGTCTTGGGATCATCGTTGTCGGCTGCTTGCACTGTCAGGATTTCTGTCCCTAGGGGAAGACACCATTAAAGAACAGTAAAGGTAGGCTGACTGAAAGGTAAGAATATCTAACTGATTTACTGTGATAACATCTCGGAAGATACAACAAATTCTTTCTCCAATAATCTTTTTTTTGTTCTACATTTTTAAATGAAAATCTCAGCTTTACAAAACACTTCAGGCAGATTTCTGTTATACAGTCAAAGAACATGAAATGTTTTTTCTCTTCAATATGTTACAGCCACATAGCACAGTGAATGGGAATAAGGGGGAGGAAGGATAAAACAATGGCTCTCTCGTTTAATCCTCACTCAGTGATCCCATTTAGATTAACAGATTGTCCTGTCTAATGCATTTCCCAGAATCAACCGTTTTAAAGCATCAACAAAAAACCTTTTATGCCGGGACCTGATATGTCACAGCACACCATGTGCTTTTTATGAGCATGGGTAGAAGTGAGGGTGCTTTTCCCCCTGTGTCCTGGCAAAAATCCCAATCTGCTTTCACAAAAGGTATCTGGCACTCTCGGCCCTTTCATCACTACAACATCCCTTCCAGCCAGTGTTCTCTACCTTATTGTGAAACAATATTCCCATTATAGTGTAAATGTGACAATGGGTTATTCAGAGGTCTCATTGTGTTGTTTTATGATGATCTCTAACTTCACAAGTACATATAACTGTCATAAATAGTAGAGTATTTTAAGTACATGGTGGTTTTATGGTTTTTGGTCAATATTTTCTCATACATTGCAGTAGCAAAAGTGAGACTATTAATGGATTTTTTCGTTACAAGAAAGTTCCCAAATATTCTTTGACATCACTAAAATATATAAAAAGCTGTCAGCTACCTCGGGCAGCCAGTTCCTTGACCACGGTATGGTATTGTGCCTGTGGAAAGGTGGGTCTGTTATCATTGGCGTCGCCTACCATCACCCTCAACTCCACAGGTTTGGCAATTTCTCTGCCATCTGGACGCTCAACCACAATGCTGATCTGGAACTGACCAAGCAAAAAGAGAAACACAATATTTGCCTGAAGAGTATCAAAAAAACAGAGTGGTTCGACATGCATATCTAGCCCTGCAGGGGACTAGTAGACCAGTGCAGGATGTGATGGGATAGGATCCTGCAAAAAGTATTAAACTGGTAAACAAAATGATGGATGGCTGGATGGAAATGAGAAACAAGCTGCCTGAATCTTTATGTTTATTATTCTGCACCTCTGACAGGTGGAGGCACAACGCTTACAATGTGAAAAGGCTCCACCATCACTCATGCAGAATACAGACTGATTGATGAAGCCGATCCAGACAAGAGATATTTGGCATTTAACACTTCTACAGATTATCAATCGTTTTTTGAAGTGATGGTAAGTATGCATCTATAATCTTTCAATCACTATGGGTAGCAGAATAGCGTATGTGTGCTCCCTGCTTTTTCTTCACAGCGCACTTCGATCAACATTATGTACCCTTTAAAACTACTAATACATTTCAGTGTATTGAATAGTGTTGTAGCACTGATAAGAAGTTGAGGTTTTCCCATCTCTTATTCCTTTCAACTAAGAGTAAACTAAGACATAATACGTCATTTTCAACCTTCCATTAAATGATCACTACAGAAGACAGAAAATACAATATGCTAGAGTCATGTGTTTAAACACTAATCAGATCCACTGTTATAGCTCAGTCTCTCAGTGTTGTTCTTTGGCTACTTGAACATTTGTGCCAGAATCTACTGTTCAGTGAGCCGTTCAAAGCTCTCAGGAGATTAAGCTGTGTGCAAAACTCAAAAGTAAAATCCAAACAAATGATCTTTAATTTGTAATCCTACCATGAATAATGATCCTTTTCTTAGCCTAAAGTGAACAAAGTTTGAAATTAAGCTTTTAGCTTTATAGTGCTTTATTATTTTTTTTGCCACGTTCAACGAACATACTAGAACTGTGCTTTTCAGCTTTTGGGTTGTTTCATTAATTATCTCTGTTCAGTTTAAAAATAGACTGTACTCAGCGCTGTAACAATAATGTGCACCAGGGTGCGTTTAACTAAAAGATAATTAAGCTGTAAGTAATATTACAAAATTGAATTAAAACAGGAGCTTCCTTTCAATTAACTACATGAGAAATTGTTTAGTGCCGTGACAACATATCATGTGTGGTTCTGTTGGTTTTAATACCGAGAATATTTTGAGAATGATAACATAATGAGCTTTTGAATCTTATTAAACTTTATAAAGATTATAACTGCACTCATTTACTGTCATGTGTGACACAAACACAGTATAAACACAGACATAAAGGCTTCTGTCTTTCATTCGAGTGGCACCTACAGACCGAGTGTTTACAAGCTTTCAACAGTAATCATAAACTCACATTTATTATTAGGGGCTGGAGATGTTTAGCTTGCAGTTATACAGACCTGGTCTTGTGTCTCTCTGTCCAGTGGGGCGTTGAGATAAATGACTCCTTCTCTGCTGATGGTAAAAAGCATCTCTGGAAACTCTCCCTCCAGACTGTACTCTGCCTGACTTCCACTCCATTTGACCTACATAAACACACAAATAGGCACACACATGCAACAGAAGTTTTCCAAATACAAAGTTTAATATAGATACATGTACATGAATGAAATGCATGAACATTTCAGTGCCTTACCTTTGTTTTTTTTCAGTTTTTTTATCTGGGTGCAACAGGAAAATGATCATGCAGTATAAACCTAAAAAGCTATTCAGCATGGCCTGCCTGATGTATAAGTACAAAGCTAAGCTACCATTTATTTCAATGATAAGGAGCTGACCAAATGCACTGACAATGATGTGGAACAGAGAGCACAGCCAAAACTAACTATGCAGGCTGAAGGGGATTTTCCACTCTGCTTTACAGCCCTTGACAGAGGGCTTGTGCAGTGGGGCTGAAAGGGCCCTAGTAGCCATCAAACAGCACCCAACAAGGAGAGGGGCCCAGCCACAGCACAGCTGATGCACACCCAGGGCATGTGTATCTCCTCAACACACTGTCACACACTCCTCCCTTGTTTTGGAGATGGCTGCCCAAACACTATGCTTTTGTATACACAAAACCGCTTCACACAGCTGGCTGCCTCTCTGTGTTATGGTGTGTTTCTAGACCTCAGAACTTTAAAGAGATATGTTTAAAGAGCTGATTAATAATCATAGACTGCTCTATATAAAGTTCTACACAAAACATCTATGAAGTCATCTGTTTTGCCTCTGTCAGTGTTCGAGTTTGCAGAGCACGTTCTGTCTCCCCCAATATCTTGTGTTTGAGCTACGTCAAGAGTGCCTCATGTCTGTGTCTGTTTTTCTCCTAGTCACTGTGGACTGGAGAGTAATCAGTTGCTGAATTACAGGAAAGAGTACAATGCCCTGCATTAAACACAAAATCAGTAAGTACAAAAATATCTGAGATGAAACAAGAGGCATTTTTATTGAGATTTTATAAGATCATCAGTATCCAAATCTAGAAATAACAAAGTATGTCAACTTTACCAGGTGACAGATAAAATTACAGTGTGTATTTGGGATGGAAAGCAGAACAAAGTATTAAAAAGACAGAAGCAAAAGGTTTTCTTTTTGGGCCACTTGGGGGCAGC